GTTTTCAGCAGCAAATATCAAATGACCAATGGCTTAAACAATAAAGACATTCAATTGTCTGCTATACCAGGAGGGGTACAAAATCTCATCAAGGACCCAGGCTCTTCCTTTCTTTCTCTTCCACTATCCTCAGAAGCTTGTAGTAGCCAGCCTCCAAATTGGACCTTAATGATCCCCTCCTTCCAGTATTCACACTCCTCCCACATTTAACCCAGGTTGGTCTGTGTGACCTCGGCCCTGATAAATGTGGGAGGGGTGTGAATATGGCAGAAGGGCTGAGATTAAGTTATAAAAAGACTATGGCGTCCATCTTGGGTTCACACTCTCGTGCTCTCTTCCCCACTCCCCCACCCCTACTTTTATATCTCTTAACCTGGGAAAAGCAAGCTGTCATCTTGTGTGCAGTCCAATGGAGAGGCCCATGTGGCAAGGCACTGAAGCTTTCTATCAACAGCCAGCTAAGAACTGATGCCGACCAATAACCATGAGAGTGTGTTTGGAAGTGGATTCTTCCTCCACAGTGACTCTTGAGATGACTAGAACCCTCGTATCAGCTTGAGTACTGAGAGGCCTTGAGCCAGGACTACCCAGAAATTGTGTGAGATAATAAATGTTATTGTAAGGTATTAGTTCTTAGGTAATTTAGGTGACACCACAACAGATAACTAATACACTCAGTGTGTCTGCCATGTGTCCCCTAAAGGGTACAAGAGGGCTGCCATAGCTTCAAACACCATGTTTTCACAGGACTGCATCTCAGGCAGGAAGAAAGGGGGATGAGAAGAAAGGGGCTCTCTTTATGTACCTTTCTCCTTTTATCAAGGAGGAAAATATTTCTTAGAAGTCACCCAGCAGATTTCTCCTTACTTCTCCTTAGCCAGAACTGGGTCTCATGATCACCTCCAGCTAGCTGCAAGGGAAGCTGGGAAATCAAGTGCTGGGTCTTTCTGCTTATTTGTAGGGAAGTGGGCAAGGAACAAATGGGCTGGAATGTCTGCTGTGTAGCAACAACGGTATCTGCCAGCCTTTCCGGAAGTTTCAGTTTGTCTGGTTGTTTTCATGAGGCATCGTTTCACTTGTTCCTTCGTACTCTGTACGCACTGAAAGTAAACTGGAAGTTAGACCTCAGTTAGATTCAGGTTAAACATTATCGGCAAGACTACTCAGGGGCAATGCGGTGACCTTTATGCTCTCTCACATCAAGTCACAACCAGGATCCTCTCTAAATAAACATTTTACAGCATTTAAGCAGAGGGCAGTGCACCATCAATGAAAAGGCTAACCCAGAATCCAGATGAGATGTGTCCTAGGATGCTTTACTTATACTTATGGAAATTCTGTGTTCTTCTATAAATTCATTTTGGGTTGTCTTGTTGGAATTCTGTGTGATAAGCAGTCTCAGTTTCTTGCACGTGACTTTTTTAGGGGCTGATGAGTCACATGAGCAGTGTTAACTTAGCTTAAAACACTTTAGAGCATTATAAGCTGTCTTTAAAAATCAAATGTATAAATGTTGGCATGTGTTCCTTCCATGATATCGTCCACTTGAAGTTCTTAGGGCTTTAGATATAATGTCAGGAACAAGGGGAAATGAAATGAACCTTCTCAATTGTTTAACATCGAGGCACAGGACAGGTGAGCGCTGTGGCCCTGTGGTCAGAGGTGCAGAACACTTGGTCAGGGTCAGTACTTGGTGACACGTTAACAGCCCCTATGGGACCTTCTCATCTGCAATCGTGAATTTCTCATTTATTTGTTTGCAGAGAGGCTGTGCTGCACTCACTGTGGTCTCCATTGTCTCTGTCCCCAGAGACCTGAAGAATATATTCTCTCAGCGAAGACTGTGGCCTAATCGACAGCCAGACCTGAGGAGTGGAAACACCAGGGGCCACATTAGGACAAGGCGTTGTCCTTGAAAAGGTGGTGGCCCCCAGGCTTCTCGAGCCCCCGAAGACCATGTCAAGCAAGGTGGGCTTGCCCCCTGTTTCACTGGGAATAGTGGGGTGACCTGGAAGGAGAATATTTGTCCAAAGTTGTCTTCCTTCAACGTGACCCTGTGCCCACCTCCAGCTGTTTACCCTTTTCTGCTGCCTCAATGGCAGGGGTCTCTGTCCCCCTCTCTGGAGTCCCTCCCCTAGCCTCTCCGAGCTCCAATGTCTTGCTGCCATCTCAGAGTCATCTTAAAGTTAACCCTTCCTCCACCCAGTTTCCCCAAGTCAGCAAAAGGCAGCCCCACCCTCCCAGCTTCCAGGCTAAAAAAAACGAGGCATCAGCCGTGACTCATCCTAGCCATCCAAAGAGCCCCCTGGTCCTGAAAGACTCTGCAGCAATGGCTTCATTCATGTGTCTTCCTTCAGGCACCGCCCTGGCCTAGCCACCAGCATCCCTTGCCCTCCAGCCCTGGTCTCATTGCCCTTTCAGGACTCACTTGCCTGAGTTCTTCCAGCTCCTCTGGAATGTGGAAAATGAATAAGGACTTCCTCTCCGACCCCTCCTTCCTGTTCCACTCTATCTCCCCGATCCATCTATTCCGGAAGCCTTGGCCCTTACTTCCCTTTAATAATAATAGACATACCACATGCCAGGCATTGTACAGTCATATCTTTAACCTTTACAGCTTCTGTGCAGCATAGGTATTATTGTCCCTTTTATAGATGAGGAAAACTGAGGTCTGGAGAGGTTACACTGGTCACGTTGCCTGTAAATAACAGAGCTGGGATTCAACCCATGTCTGTCCGATCCAAAGCCCTTCCTCCGGGGTAACCGCCCACCGTCACGCCCATGCCCTCCTCTGTAAGCAGCTTGCACCGTTCCTTGCCACGGTACCCTCCCTCTTACCCACAGCTTCTTGGAATCCCCTAACCCACAGCTCTATTGCAGAGCTTCACTGATGATTCCAGCCCACACTGCTCACCCTCGTCTCTCAACTTTTCTGGCAGGAATCTCAGCCCTGCACAATCTGGCACTTAATCATAGACTGCCTTGTCTGGCTCTCTGGCTATTTCACATCTGCTTATCTTGCCCCCAAGAAGCCTGGAAGTGTCTGAGTTACGGGAGAGGCTGCCACTCACAGCAGTCCCCAAGGGCCCCCAACACAGAGCTAGGTGCACACTCAGTGTAGCTGACCTGGTTTCCCAGGAAGGAGGCAGGTTCTCAACGCTCCAAAAGCTGAGTGGGCTCCACCCTGGCACTCCCCATCCTCTGTCCCCATGGTAAGCCTCAAATCTCTGCATGCATGTGTGTACACACACACACACACAAACACACACACGCACACACACACATTTTCTCTGTTACACACATATTTAATCCCTCTTTTCACAGGGAGGCATTCTATACCTGGAACGACCTAACCAAAAGACAGAACTCCTTCCTACCTGCATACTGGACATTGCCCACATTGTGGAATTCCAGTATGGATCAGTGAGGCCAGCAGAATTGGTGGAGCTCCCTGGGAAGGGTGAGGCATTGGTATTACATCCTAACAGAGTCTGGAGCTGCACTGGCCACTGGGCAGGGGTTTGGCGTCTCGATTCTAATTCTGGTCCTGCCTCCGGATGGTCTGGGGTAGGGGAAGAAACGCGATGTTGCCATTTCGATGTGAAGTTTGGGCCGGCCGAGTGGCTCAGTTGGTTAAGAGCTCACTTAAGAGTTTGAGCTCTAAGCAACAATGGTTCGAGTCCAGCCCGAGCTGAGCAGCCACTGAGCTACCAACAGGTAGCAGGATGGCTCAGCTAAAAAAAAAAAATACCTCGATGTGAAGTTTGTAGGCTGTGAGAAAGAGCCTTTTCTCCAGGATCACACCACACAGCTCAAGAGGGGGGTGATCGGTGTGCCCCCGGAGCTATCCTGGTCTCCCTGCACCACCTCCCTACCCACTGGGCTCTAAAACATCTCTGCCCTGATCCTGTGCCCCGACACCTGGTTTCCCAAGCTGATTCATTCTTGGGGTTAAATAGTGCTATCTCAAACTTCTAATTTTAAGGTGGGAAGAACATACAACATGAAGCCCTAAACACTTAGAATGATCTAGATTTCAGATGGATTTCTTCCCAGACACGTAGGACACAGCATGAAGGGGTTTGGGGTTTGGTGAGGGGGCACTTGACTCAGGGTCGATGGGTCAGTGAAGGGCCAGGGAGAAAAGATGGTGAGGATGGAGAGGAGGTGGTGGGTGGGGTCCCTGCAGCCAAACTTGTCTTCCTTTATAATTGTGCTTGCGGCCAGTCCTAACATGTGAACAAACAAGTGAATAAGCAAAGGGAGCTTATGTAAGAAGGACAAATTAAAACAGTGGTGCAACACACCACACATACCTCACAGAACCTGGAGAAGGAGCCCAGGAAGGGGCGAAACTGCAGGGGGCATAGGTGGTGGGAGTGTGTCTCCTTCAAACACCAGAGCCAATCTGCCAGCCCTGCCATTGCAGGGAAGGACGCGACCTCCTGGAGGGAGGCCAGCATTTAATTCCTTTACTGCCAAGGTGCGTCAGGGAGACAGGCACCCTCTGATAACCATCGGCGGAAGTTTTGCAACTCGATGTGTGAAGTTTTCTGGGCTGAGGGCTGAGCAGTACCTGCCTTTTTGGGCTGGACCCTGCATGGCATCCGCGAATGCTTCTAGGTGTACCCAGCATGGGCGGAGGACTGAAGACTCTGTACTGGAGATGAATCTCGCCTCGCAATGAAGCCAGGGGGGCCCTCACAGGACCAGACGCTGCTCACACATCCAGGGGAACTTCTGCACCTTGTCCTGGGCCTGGGGCCCTTTACCAGCCTTTGGGGTTGCCTCCTGGCAGAGCTCAACAGGCCCAGACGCCACCGGCCTGAGCCACCTGTGGGTGGCCCAGCTGAGGGGAAGAGACAGCCACATTCCAGGCTCCTGGCTGGCAAGGAAGTGTGGCAGCAAGTTTCAACAGGAGGACAACCCCAGCTCCAGCAGACCAGCACTGAGGCTGGGGGGTGACTCCTCCTCACCACAGGAGGCCCCAGGCTGAGGAGATGGAAGAACAGGTGTTCAAGGGGGACCCAGACACCCCTCATTCCATCTCTTTCTCGGGCAGCGGCTTCCTGTCCTTCTACCAGGCTGGGGCTGTGGATGCCCTACGGGACCTGGCCCCTCGGATGCTGGAAACAGCTCATCGCTTCGCCGGGACATCGGCAGGCGCCGTGATTGCAGCCCTGGTCATCTGCGGGATCGAGATGGGTAAGGCCATTGTTCTGGGTTTCCTGGGGAGACTCCCAAAGCAGAGCCTCAGGATTGCTTGGGGGTGCTTTTGCGAGCACAGCCAGGCCTTCTGGGCATCAGGAAAGGATGAGGCGGATCAAGTAGGGTGGCGGGAAGCTGCGACGTTTGAGGCTGGTGTCTGCCAGGTCCCTGTCTCTGACACACCCGGTGACTTGGACCCATCTCTCCCTCTCCCTCGATGCTCCTACCTGTGATGCCCTGTGTCCCGGGGGCTGGGTGAAGGAAAGGCAGGGTCTCCCTCAACTATGCTGGACTTGGAAGTTATACCGTGACAGTCAGATGTGGGGGGTGATGTGTTCTCCTGCCTGGGCATCGTCCAAGATGCAGGTATCCTTGGCAAGGGCAACGCTTCACATCGTTGTCACCTTGGTGGGGATGGATCTGTTAGACCTGCTGTCAGGTGGCTCCAGAGGTGAAAGGCGGCGGGAGGGGAAGACACTGGGAAGGATGTGGAATCTCTCGCGTCGCCTTCTGCCCTGCTGGTCCAGGGGCCCCAGAGAGAAGGATGGGGCCACACTGGACCCAGAGGGCAGAAGCGCCATCCCGTGCAGGGGGGCAGACACATTCCTAGCAACCCCAGACAGCAGGCCTGGACCCGGTCCCAGAGAAAGCCCAGCATCCACACGGGGGCCTTGGGCTCATTTGTTCACTTACTGCCCTGCTGCTCTGTGCCAGGCTCTGCTGCAGGCGCTGAGGCTAAAGCCCCTGTCCTCAGGGAGCAGATGTTCTAGGGACAGGAGACACATAACAAATTTCAAACCAGTAACCTTCCAATGTCATGTCAGGAAGCAAGATCTATGAATAAAGTTACAGCAGAAGAGGGTCAGAGAATACAGCAGGGACTATTCTAGAAAGGGTGGTCAGGAAAGCCCTTCTCAGGAGGTGACGTTCAAGCAGAGAAGGAACCATTTGCACACCCTGATTCTACTCTGAGAGGGATGGAGGCCCGGACAGGCTGTGAGGGAGGCAACGTAGTGGGCGGCTGAGAGCACACACTTCACGTGGGGTGGATCCCAGCTCTGCCATTTCACAGTGCCGTCCCGGGCGAATTACCGAATGCTCTGTGCCTCAGCTTCTGTGTCTGTAAAGTGGAGGTTCTACTAGCACCTAATGCCTAGGGAAAGCTACTGTAGATCTAGGCCACTGATGAGCACGGCAGGTAGCTGGGCGGTGAGGGAGGTGACAAGCGACTGGATTCAGGATATACTTTGAAGGTGGAGCCAAAGAGACTTGCTGAAGGGCCAGCTGCAGTGTGTCAGAGGAGGAAGAGGTGCCCAGGGCGCCTTTCTGCCTGGGGGACCTCTGCGCTGGGTGGGAGATCTTTGTCTTTGTTATAAAGAATAATAGTAATGCCCGTTCACTGAGGACGTCTTGTTTGCAAGATAATTTTTCTTTTTAATAAACAGATTTTTCCTCACTGTACAAAATCCAAGCAATGCAAACATAGATTGAGAAAAAACAAAACAAGACCAAAAAAACCTCCATTGACCCTCCAACCCCCTTGTCCCCAATCCTACTCTCCCTCCTGTAGCCAGGGATGAGGGCTCTGCTTGGGTCCTTCTAGGTCTTTTTTTATGCACAGAGTCCTGAGTGAATGTGGCTGTTAATGCTTCAGTCACCCAAAGGACC